ACATAAAAGTATATATGTTGAAAAAGGAAAACGTACTGAATATAAATCAACTAACAGTTGTCTAAAAAAACATTCCATCAACTATCTACCTACCATTGGTTAAATAAGACAGAAGCGACAAATTTTTTATGTAATTTAAGTAATTACAAATTTAAAGATCTATATTTTACTATATTAAAATTTTTTTTTCCAAAACCTCTTTTTTTTTGCATACAAATCGAATCATAAATGATATAACAATATCATTTGAACCTTATAATATAATATGATAATATAACCTTAATCTAATATTAAGGTATATGGTTTGCGGTCCTATACTCCTAGGAGTGAAAGGATTAAATATATATGGTTTATTTATATTTATCATTAAAGGAAATAGAATATTTTTTATGTTAATTGCTTAGGTTTTAATTTCTCTAGTTACTAAGCAGTTACTAGTTCTTAGCTTAATTTTACTAGTCATTTTGAAATTACGAGTATATGGTATTTAATATTAAAATTGATAAATTTAAATCGCATATATTAAATTAGTTTAATTAATTAGTTAGGTTAATTATTGTATATTTTAAATATATTTGTTTAATAATTCATTTTTTCTTATCACCATGCAAATTCAATAAGTACAGATAATCCAGATAACGCAATTAAACAAACACAATTTTTATGTAAATATTTTACAAAATCATGCTTGTGATAATTACAAGTAATTTAAATGGACTTTCAATACTTAATAATAATAGCGTGACAACACGATTAAATTAAATGTTGTGTTAACAAATAAAAAACATTTTTAAGTAACAAAAAAAAATATTTTTTAAGCTTTAACTTCTAAAATTGAACACTGAATGTATTATATATATTACATTTACATCGCAATAAAATAAAATTGCATAATTATAGGCGTATGCACTAGTTTTTAATAATATTTAATATCCACATACAATAAAATTTAATAATATGAACAAAAATTCAAATGTTTAATGATAGCTCTGAGAAAAAAAAAAAATGAATTATAAGCACATACTATATGAATCAGACAGATATGGAGAGAGAGAGCGAGAGAGAGAGAATGAGCATGAATATAAATGAGTTGTATAAATTAATGAAAATGATTTTTTAAAGTATGTTTTGAGGCGATGAAAAAAGTAGAACGGATATGAGGCATTTTTCAATTTGTTCGTAATGTTCAGATAAGGTAAATTTGTGTTTAATGATATGATAAAGGACATTTCGTTAGTGCATTTGGTGGAAATGCTTGTAAATATTTGCATAGTACTTCAAATACTGCGCGTGTTTTTCATTTCGTTGCCGCACTTCACGCCATTTGTCAGTTGAAATATAAAATAAAGTAAAAAATTTAATATTAAATTATTAAAAACTATTTTTTTAAATCTGATTAAATTAAAATTTTATTAAAATAAATAAAATCTTCCCTGTAGTATATAACAGCTTGGTAATTTTGTATTATTATATATACTTTTGGAGTATAGTTTTTAACTAGACTGTTTACTGAGAGTTTGACATCATTTTGCACAACATAGAGAAATTATAATTTGAATAAAATTCACTGCTTTAAAAATAATTATAGCACTTTAGAAGTTTTTCAAGCATAATTCATTTAAAGTTATTTTAATCTTGAGAGTTTATGTTATTTGTCAAGTAGTTTTTGTAGTGTATTTTCAGGCGCTGAAGCTGTTTTACACTGAGTAATTTAAAAACCGTCGCAATAATTCGTTGATGTAGTTAGATTTTAGTAAATGATTATATTTAAAAATATATATAAATTTGTGAAACTATTTCAGTATAAAGTTGGTGGAATAAATCATTTAGTAAGATGATTTAATTTTAATCAGATTAATTATAATATATTATTAATAATTAAAATCTTATTATTCATGTTGTTTAAATTCATACTAATTAAACTGCAACTGAATAATATATTTTTGTTGTCGTTAATAAATAAAACGTTTATAATAATAAAATTGATCGAACTGGCGTATTTTTACCCTAAATAACTAGTTCAGAAACAGTTCGTATCTTTGAAAGTAGAACAAAAAATAATAATTAAATAAACACATACTAAATAGTGAAAAAAATATATAAAAATAAAAAAAAGAAAATTTTTGCTAACTACATAAAACAAATTATAAAAATATTTAAAATTTTGTTCATGCAATGTAAACAAAAAAGTTTGAAATAAAATTTTTTGTGCCCAATAAAAAAGGAATATATATAAAATATAAAATGAATTGCAATAAAAATATAACCCAAATATAAAAGCGTAGCACATAAAGTAATATATATGTAAAATATACAAAACAAACACAAATGAATCCCAATAATAAAGAAAAATTTTAATAAAAAATAAAAACCACTGACGTGTTTGCGCTGATCCGCCGTTGCTGTCATTGTTTGGATCGGTCACATCGGTATATATTTCAGTGCCTTCATCATCTTCATCATCATTGTCAATCTTTTCTCTATGCACTTGTATGGTTTCTTCATTTTCATCATAATTACCAACAGTGTCATCTTCATCCAAATTATTTGTCGCTTTACGATCATCCGTCGTCGAATGTTCATATGGATCGATATGCTCTTTTTCATTAAGCTTATTACCACCACCGGCAGCGGCAGCGGCATCAATATCGATATGATGATTATCATGTTCAATAATTTCTTCTCCGTCATCATTATCGATATCACCTGTGTGATCGTCATCATCATCATTATCGCCATGATCAATGATACCACCATCACCACTGCCGCCGCCAATGGTTTCATCAAGATCGAAATCATCATCATCTGTATGTAAGGGAATATTAGAAGAGGATTGGGTTATATGGGTTTGTATTGGATTTTGAGATGATGTTGTTGTGTGTTGTTGTTGATGAACATTATTTATATTGTTATTGTTTGTTGTTGTTATTATTGTCGGTTTTGCTGATGAGGATGATGTTGATGAATGATCTTTACCAATTGTATTAATGCCAGTGTTTCCACTGCCACTGATGATGCCTGAATTGCCACTAGTGCCGCTACCAATGATTGTGCCACTATTTGTTTGATGGGTTCTACTGGTGCTATAATCGTTGTCGTTTGTATTTTGTTTTGAAATACCAGTTTGCGTATGTATGCTTGGACGTCTATGATGGTGATCTGTTGATGAATCTTCGTCATCAGGACCAAAACCAGAACCAGAATAGTCTGGATCTTTTTCTAAATCATCGTGCAGCTGTAAGAAATAAAACACAAGTAATTATAAATAATTATTATTAATAATAAAAGCTTAAGAAGTTTTTAATAAATTTTATTAAAGGCATGTACTATAAAAAGATATATACTTAAGATTAGTCACAACATCAAATTTGTAAAATGCTTATTTATGAAATTATTTTAAACGTTCTAATTTATATACTGTTTATATTGGTCTGTAGTAGTAAATAATATTTTGTTATAATTATATAGCAACACAAGAAATTGTTTAGGGTACAATGTAAGATAAGAACTTATTCGGTATTTGTACACTCAGAAAAATAAATAGGTTGATTTAACTAGATTTTAACTGAGTCACAGTTCAAAATATTCTTACTCGACGCATAATATTGGTTATCATATCCTCTTTACCACAAGAGATAGAACTTTTCTAACAAAATATTCAGGTCAACCTAAATAGTATATGGTTAGAGCATATTTTTCTGAGTGTACTTTTCCTTTAATATACCGATGTTATATTTTCAGAATAATTATAATTGCTAAGTGCTCTTTCAGATCACTTTCAGATTAGAAGGAACCGCGGAAGACTTAAAATTACACAAGTAACCACAAAAGAAGTTTGGGATAGAGAACTTTGCAGCTTTGGGATAGATCTTTTAAAATATTTCCGTGAAAGTTAGCTTATTGACAATAATGTTATTGTTTTAAGGAAGTTTCTACTGCCTACTTAGTATGTTGGACTTACTAAGTAAATTTCCTTATAAATAAATTTCCTACAAGGAAAAATACCTTGTTTCACATGTCAAATGTAAAAAAATAACAGCTGAGCTGTAAACAAACGTACTGAGGAAGTAAGTATTTAATAAAATCTTTTTTTTTTTTTTATTATTTTTATATATAAAATGTATGAATAAATCGATATATAATATATATATACATAAATGATTTAATATATCAATTATATGCATATTTTTTTTGTAATGTGAAGTAATGCGAAGTTCATTGAAAAAACAGAGACTTTCAAAGAAATTTTCTGACACAAAAGCTCTTTCACATACAATTAGTAACTAATGTCAATGGAAACGACAAAATCTTTAAGTTACTTAAGTAACTTACTAAGTAAGCAATGGAAACATGGCATTATATCTTTTTGTATATCTTTTTTTAATATAAAAAATTGCCTTTCTTAATTAGGTACCACATAAATTTTGAATTGAATGAAGAACAGTAACATTTAATAGCATTTAATAATGAAAATTCTTATTATTATTATTATTCTTAAATTCTATAGAGCAATAATTTGTAAATTAAAGAAAATATAAATCTTAAATAAAAATATAAATGAATTATTTAGGTAACAAACAGATTTCAATTTGATATGAAATTTGTAATATTCTTTTATTATCTAGATGCATCGATCTAAACTATTTTTTCATAGTCGTAAAATTATCTGTTTGTCCGCAGTACATAAATTAAAATTTTATACAATATTTGTGTATTTTTCAAACTAAAACTAGGTCCAAAATTTTATATTACACAATCCTATTCTTTTTTTTTTGGTAGTAAAGAAAGCCACATCCTTTTAATTTCCGTACATGCTAATGCGAATTTAAAATTCCCGGCAGTGCACATAAAAACAAATGGAATATCTTTGTTGTATTCTACGGAATTTGTACTTGGAT